AGCTCGCCGCCTTCCGCCCCCGGGGGCGCCCTGGGCGTGCGGGCGAAATTTCGCGGCGCTCGTCGGTCGGGGCCATCTGGGCCTCACGGGTGGGGTCGGAGATGGGGTCGGAGGATCGCGCCGCATCGCCGATGCGGCCTGATGTGGAGCCCCATTTTCTCCACGCCGATGGCGCCGATGCATCGTCGACGTCGTTGGCGATGCATCGGCGATGCATGCGCTGGCGATGCGGCGCGATCCCCCGACCCAATCTGCTCGGCCCCTCTCTGGGAGGCTTCTAACCGAAGTCCCCTGAGATCCTGGCGTCCCAGTTTTTTCAAGCCAGGCGGTTTCGTTCGTTCTTGGTCTCCCAGTCCCTCACATATCGATCTCGTTCGAAAAATGACGCAGTATGAGGGGGTTCAGGGCTCTGGTCGTGAATTTTTACGGTGTCTAATCTCTCTTGCTACGTCGGATCTCAGCGGTCGGTCGGGGCCTATGATCGGGACCCAGACATGGTCGCGTCGTGAAAAGTCGCGACTGGAGGTATTCGGCCGTTTTCGGCCTCCTGGGGCCCTTCTCTGGGCCCCGGGACCGTCGAACAAAAACGACTCACGATGAAGAGCTGGCCCTGGGGAAAGGTTTGGGACTTCTGGGAACCACGAGGGGTCGGGGGCCCCCACGCGATGCGGTGACCACACCGCGTGGTGAGTCACTTGGGATTCGGGGTCACCGCGCGGTATGGGGACTCGTTTTTTTCTTCCGAGGACGTCTCGGGCAATGGGGTCTCAAAACCGTGCCGCAGTGACGGACCGTGCGGTGAAGTCGTTTGGGATTCCGAGGTCACTGCGCGGTCTGTCGCCCCCCCCCTAGTTCAGGTGCAACTCTTGGGAGGTCAATTTCTGATTTAGCCCTTGTCCGAAATCCCGCTTAATCCGGCTTAATCCCGCTTAATCCCGCTGAATCTGGCTGAATCCCGCTTAATCCCGCTGAATCCGGCTTAATCCCGCTTGATCCGAGGCCCACTTTGGCTTAACAGCCCCCCAATGGGGCTTAATCCTCCGTAGTCCTTCCGACGAAAACCTCCCAGTAGTTGCCTCCTGACCCCAGCGCTCGTCGGTCGGGACCGAAGCCAGGCAGGCCAGGGCTCGGGATGCATCGCGGCGGAGCGCTCCGGAACGCTCCGGAGCGGCCGCGGCGCTCGACAGCCCCGCGCCGCCAACCATCGAGCAACAGACAAGTCCTCCTCCTCCTCCTCCTCCTCCTCCTCCTCCTCCTCCTCCAAGCATCATTTCTCGGGGGTCCGCGCGGGTCTCCGAGACACTGCCAGCTTGACACATACCCCTATCCCTACGCTCGCCATCATCACCTTGCCTCGATGCCCGTCTTGAGGAGTCCAGTCAGCTTCGGAGGGTGCATCCCTAAGATCGGCGGTGGCCAAAGGTGCCCCTGGCCCAAAGTACTCCCAGCTTTTCGGTCAATTCTGGAGCCCCTGTGGCCCTCCTGACCTCGTGAAGAGTGCTCTGGAGGCCGTGGGGGTCCTCCTTAGAAATCCTGGGGACATCTTGGACCAGTGGCACTTCTAGCCCCCCCCCATAAATATTGTCCTCGCCCTTGGGCTTGATAACCTTAGGGGCAGGGATAGGATCGAGGCGGGTTCGAGAAGTCATGGTTGTGCCGTCTTTTATTCCTCCCTTTGCCCCTTCTCGTCGGACGGGATCGTCCGAGAGGGGGGTGAGGGCTATCAGGCCCAGGTCTGTGATATCTCACAGACTTCACGGCCCCCTCTTCTCCACTACACGTAAGAGTGACCTTTCGCCGCAGTGAACTGTGGTTGCGGGCCCACTGGGGCCCCCCGATCGCCGAATGAGATGCGATGGTTGCGTCTTGCGCGCTTGGGTGTGGCCCCTATGAGGCTCCCCGAAAGCCGAGCACCAAAGGTCACTCTTGCCTAGGGTCACTCTTACGTGTAGCCGACGCCTTCTTCTTCTTCTTCTTCCAGTGCGTTCCTTGCCCCTCCCCCTCGTCCGCGCACATGCCTCGGGCGACGATAACCCTTCTCCTCCTGGCCTCCCTCCTCCGCGCACCTGGCCCTTGCTCCGCTTGGTGGGGCCCAAGCGGGTGTTCACCGCCCACAGAACCACTCCAATCCAATCCGAAGGCGCCAATTTACCCCCCCATTCCCAGTGGAGGAGGGGTGGGGGGGGGGCGCCAGGGAGCCCGTACCCCCCCAACCCGAAATTAGGGTCTTCGGGTTAGGTTGGGGTTGGTTTGGTAAGTAGATCGGTATGGAACCCGCGGGAGGCGAGGGCCGACAGCAACTCCTGTCCATTCTGAGCAGGGTTCGCTGTCGGTGCCGTCCGTCGCGGACGTGGCCCATCTGGGGCGACTGTCGCCTGCCCAAGCAGCAGCCGCAGTCGGTTTTGGAGACAACACCTTGCTGTTGGACATCCTCCCCGTCGTTTTCGTCCCCATCTCGGACATGCCAAGCTCCAGGTCCTGGGACCTTCGTTCGGCGGCGAGAGAAAGAGGGACATGAACCCGTACGCTCGCCACCAGGAGAGCTAGACTTGGGCCGGGCGTTTGCAGTGGCTGCAACGGCATGTTGGCCTGGCAAGGGCCCTGGTCAGATCAGCTCCCGGGACCGTGGGCAGGCAAGAGTGGCCGAGCACCTCGCTGCTGGTCGGCGCAGCGCTGTGGTTCCCCCGCGTCGAGGGCAGAGCCTTCCTCCTCCTGTGGCCGTGCTCGAGCCTGTCTCAGTGGACGTGGGGGCGGGGGGGCTGGGAGGAAGTAAGTGATGTCGTGCTGCAAACCTTCGGCCTGCTGGCCGACGATCGCCTACGCGGCGTGCAGGGCTTGCGTCGACAGGCGATCCAGCGAGCTTCTGCAGGGTCGGACTCCGACGTTTGAAGGGGAATCCGACCGCGAGGGTAAGCCCGCTCGACCGCCTTCAGGGCCAAGCCAAGCCAAGCCAAGCCGAGCCTCCTCCTCCTCCTCCTCCTCCTCCTCCTCCTCCTCCTCCTCCTCCTCCCGTGCGCCGTGGGGGGGCCCTCCTGCTGGGGCAGGCCTGCCTCGTGCGTATCTGCCCTGGAGCTTGCATAGCCGATCCCAGGCTGCGGCTGCTCCCGGCGTGGCGCGGCGGCCAGCTCCCGTGGGCAGCGGCCGCCGACGCGGCGCCACTCGTCGTCGTCGTCGTCGTCGTCGTCGTCGTCGTCGTCGTCGTCGTCGTCGTCGTCGTCGTCGTCGTCGTCGTCGTCATCGTCGCCGTCGGCGTCGTCGTCGTCGTCGGCGTCCTCCTGCTGCTGCCGCCTCCGCTGCTCCTCCTCCTCATGAGGCCTCCTCCCTCCCCCCTCCTGCCCGGGGACCCCCGTCCTCCCCTCACAGGGCTGTCAGCTCTCCCAAAAACCTGTCTCCGCATCCTCCTGCTCCTCCTCCTCCTCCGCCTCATCCTCCTCCTCCTCCTGCTCCTCACTACGAACCTCCTCCACTTCCGCCACCCCCCCCCCTCATCCCCCTCCCCTCGCTCCTTCACGTCATCCACTCCCTCCTCCACATCATGTCATCCACCCCCTCGCCCCGCTCCCCTGCCCGCCTCCAGTGCGGCGGCGCGTGGGCGCGGGCCGCCGACGCGGTGGCCCCCCTGGGCGCCCAGGCGGGCTTCGCACGCGGGGTCGCGCCGCTGGGGCCTCTCGCGGGCTGGTGGCACGCAGGACGAGGGGCCGGAAACAGCCAGGGCGCTCGGAGGAGGGCTTCGGCCTCCCAGGGTCGGTAATGGAAGAGAAGGGGTCCGGACCTCCTGGCCGAAGGGGAGAAGGGGGTCCTGAGGTTTTTCTCTCTGCTCCTGGCCTCTCGGGGCCCTTCCCAGGTCCTTGGGGCTTCAGGGCACGACTCGGGGCGGAAAGCCTGTCCCGGGGGAACACCAGGGGTTCAGGACCTGTTTCCCTTCGCGGTCGGCCCTCATGCCGAAGTGGTCAAGGCGCTCACTGCTATTCTTCGGTGGAAGGTGGCGGAAGGCCAGCGGAAGGCGGCAGAAGCAAGAGCGGGGGCGTTTCTGTCGGCGGTAGCCTGCGTAAGGCTGGCGGGAGTAGATTATACGACCCCCCTGAAGAGATGCCAGCACTTTTGGTTTCAAGGTTTCGGGAATGGGCCAGATGGGCGCGGACGGAGAATCCGTCCGGGCTCTGCCATCGTCGGGCTGCAGGAGTGCGCAATCCCGGCGAGCGTGCAGATGTTTGCCAGGCCGTTCCCTGCCCTGCCCCGATTTTGCTCTGTCTGAGCGCAGCCGACGTCGACGGCGTAGTCCCGCGCGCAGACAGCGACCCCACTCCCTCTGTAAGACTCCTCAGGGTGCCATCATCTACCCACGCGGGGGCCGACCCTGAGCAGGGAGACTTCCTGCTGTACTGGGTACAGTGAGCGTAGTCTTTGCGCAGCTCCAGCCTCGAGGACCGGCCAGAGAGTGCCCTGCCCGCCTCCCAGGCATTTCGCTGGGCAAGCTGGGTTGGCAAGGTAGGCAAAGAGCGGTGGAGCCGCCTCGAGCGTGGGCTCCATCCGCATACGTGGCAAACGGAGGTCGTCCTGGAGAGCTGGGCTCTCAAGGACTTGGGTCTCCTCACCCAGTCGAGTCACGGAGCGCCGAGGTGTGAGCCCTTTCCGCAGCCGACGCGTTCGGCGCTCATCGGGGGAGCGTAACACGTCAACTCTCCTGCCGCCTCCCTCTCCTTCGCTCGGGGGTGCCGTGATACGTAGGCCCATCCGGTGCCGGCCCTGAGCATAGAGACTTCGTGCTGTGCGGTTCACAGCTTAGTTGCCTCGATACGTCCGTCTTGAAACGCAACACGTCCCGTGTTAAAGACGTCTGTGACAATACGTTGCGTGCCGGCTCCACGTATTGGACCACGTTTTGGCGAGTGTATCGCGTCGGGCCTGCGTTTTCAGCCCACGTGTTGAGCTCCGCATCAGTACGCTACGCGTTGCGTGTTGCGCATCGGGGCAGCCAGGGTGCACAGCGTGCGCAGCGTATGCGCAGCTCAGGCCTCCAGGGCTGGCCCGGGAGCGCCCTGTCTGCCGTCCAGGCTTGTCGTGGCGCATTCCAGCATGCGCGTTCTGCCTCTTACTGTTAAGTCGGGCCTGTCCCTCTACAGGAGGAACGTTCACAAATAGTTAAAGCAATAGTCTGGGGGATGTTGTTTTGAGTATGTCTTGACTCTTTGCTGGTATGTTTTCAGTTATTTTCAACTTTTCGCCCCAAATCCGCCTGTAGGGGGGCACGCCCGACCTAATCTTACTGCAGTGGTTGCGCTCTTGCCCAGGCCTCGGCACTGCACTGTGAGGGGCCAGGTGGAACGTGGATCATCGGCTGCCCGCGTCTCTCTCCCTTCCCACCTTTCCCGCCTCCAACACAGGCCCTGGCCATGCTGAGCATTATTCCGACGGTAGGACTCTACTTGATAATGTATTCCGCTTGCCCCTCGCCCTTTTCCTCTTCGACTGGCACAGGCCCTCTTCCCGCGTCTGCGTCCTCCTCCTCTTCCTCCTCCTCCTCTTCCTCCTCGTCATCGTCCTTTTCGTCCTACCCGTTATATTTCTTATCCTCCTCCTCCTCTTCTTCTTCCTCCTCCCTCTCCTCACCATGTTCCCCCTCCTCCTCCTCCTCCTCGTCTTTTCTTCTTTCTCCTCCACCTTCTCATCCTTCTCCCCCTCCTTATCCTGGTCCCGCCTGCTTTCCTCATGCACTTTCCTTCCTCCTTGCAAGGGCGCGCATGCCGATTTTCCTCGGCACCCTCGCCGCCACGCCCAGCAGGGGCGCGTTCTCTGACGGCGAAATCGCGAAACCTCTGGGGCAACCCTGCAGGCCAGGCCGTTGGGACAACCCCGCGAGCAGCTGGGGTGCGTGGGCAAGCCGTTGGGACAACCCCGCAGGCACCGAGCTAGTCGCGGCCGCGCTCTGGCAGGAGACAGCACGAAACCCAGCTCTGCCGCGAGCTGCTCCGCCTTCGTCCTGAAGCTCGCAGTCTGCTTGTCGAACTCCCCGAGCGCCTTCCGCAGGGACGCAGGCGGCCCGCCCCCCAGGAACTCCTCGCATGGGCGGCCGCAGGACCGCCATGTTCCGCATGCGCGTGATTTGGGGGAACACAACGTAGAGGTGCAGCCGCCACTGCTCGTCGGACAAGCCCGTGCGACCAGCGTCCTCATCGCTAGCGCAGTCGATGGTGACGCCTTCGCGCAGCGTCTGGCCCTGCGAGAGTGTGGGGGTCAGGAAGGGCGCGTGCGCCAGGGTGGACCCCGAGCGGCGCACGGCGTGCTGCCCCGAGCTGTGCCGCGTGAGCTCAGGATCACGATGGCCCGCTCGGATTGCCAACGTGACGCGCGGGCCCCATAGGGAGGGGACCCCCGCTCGAGACTTCATCCGTGTTCAGGCCACAGGAGCCCAAAACTGAAAACAGTTACAGGAATCCGATGACCCGCCTCGGATTCGAACATGGAATGCGGGCCCCATAGGGAATATGCTCCCGCTTGAGACTTCCTCACGATTCACTGACAGAGGAGGCTCCCGCCTGAAACGTTCCAACGTTCAGGTCTGATGAGCCCACAAGTGACGACATTTGCATAGCTTAGATGACCCGTTCGGATTAACACATGGAGTGCGGACCCCATAGGAAGGGGGTCCCGCCTGAGACCTCCTCGCGACTCACTCACAGACGAGGGTCCCGTCTGAGAGTTCCTCTATGTTCAGGCCTGAAAAACCCGAAGGTGGCGACAGTTACAGGATATGGCCTACCCTTTCGGAGTCAAATGTGAAGTGCGGGCCCCATAAGGGAGGGAGCTCCCGCCCGAGACTTCATTGCGATTCATTCACAGACGAAACTCGTTTTGGTTGATGATCATGATGGGATGGTGATAGTGATAAATGTGCGATTCGGGTGATGGTGAGAGTGGGTACAGGTGAGTAATGATGGGCTAATGATGGTGCGGGTGAGCGATGGGGATGGTGATGGCGATGTTGTTGGATGGTGACGGTGATGGAAGCGGTAATGCGGATCACGGTGATGTTGGGTGGTGACGATGTTACTGTTGATGTTGATGATGGTGTGTGCATAATGGTTGCCATGGTGCTGATGATGGGCGTGATGAATGTGGAAGCGATTGGGAATGACGATGAGGATGGTGATGGTGATGGTGATGAGATGGCGAGGGTGTGGGATGATGACGCGGACCATGACGATAGCACGATAACAGGCGATGACATTATAATACATGAGTGGGTGATGGGTGCATGTGGCTGCGTGAATGAGAGTGAGTTTGAGTGGTTGATACTGCTGGCTTCCGATGGCCATGATGGGATTGTGACGTGCTAGTCAATGAGTCGGTGATGAGTGAATGAGCGGGGGGGAGGGCCACCGGGATATCCGGATGGTCTGTGGTCATGATGGGATGGTAATGACAGGATGAAGGGATGAGGTGTGAGGTGAGGTTCCCGCGCGGAAGTGCGCAGAGAAAACAAGAAACCCACTTAGGATGTGGGGAGAAACATGGACCCCCGCATATGCGCAGTTCAGAGCGGCGCCGCCTCGTCGAGCGTGGCTTCCATCCGCTTACAGGACAGAGGGAGTTGTCCCATGGAGCTGGGCTGTCACGGGTTTTGATTTTCTCATTGAATCGAGTGAGAGAATGCACGGGGATTGAGCGTTTTCCGTAGTTGGCGCGTTCGGCGTTCATCGGGGCGCACCAAACTTCCATTATGTTGCCGCCTCCCTCTCCTCCGGTCTGGGGTGCAGTGGTAGGCCCACGCGGTGCCGACACTCAGCAGGGAGACTTCCCGCTGTACGGTGGCGTCCTGCTGTACCTGTGCAGGTCCAGCCGCGAAGGCTGGCCAGAGAGTGCCCTGCCTGCCGTCCAGGCTTTCCGCTAGACGAGATGGGTGGGCAAGATGGGCACAGAGCGGCGGAGCCGCCTCGAGCGTGGCATCCATCCGCGTACAGGGCAAAAGGATGTCGTCCTAGAGAGCTGGGCTCTCAAGGACTTGGATTTCACACCTCAGCCGAGTGAGCGGGTGTGCGGGTGGGCGCTCGTTCCGCAGCTGGGACGTTCGGCGTTCGTCGGGGGAGCATACCACACCAACCCTCCTGCCGCCTCCCTCTCCTACGCTCTGGGGTGCCGTGATAGGCCCACTTGGGGCCGACGTTGAGCAGGGATACTTCCTGCTGTACGGTGTGCCGCGTGCTACGTACTTGCGCAGCTTAAGCCTCGAGGGATGACTAAAGAGTGCCCTGATTGCGTCCAGGGCTTTCGTTGGACAAGGCGGGCAGAGAGCGGCGGAGCCGCCCTGGAGCGAGCGCCCACCTTGTTCGCTCCGCGCGCTGGAGCGTTTTGCTCGAAGAAGATGAAGAGGAGAAACATTATGATGGTGATGATGCTGATGGTTGTGGTGAAGGTGAAGATTAACATGAAGATACATATGATGAAGGTGATGAAGGGGATTAATCTGATGGTGGTGGTGCTGCTGCTGCTGAGGAGGAGGAGGAGGAGGAACAGCGACACACATAGCTGTGATCACTCTGAGGGACATAGTAGTAGTACCCCGTAAGAAGGGTAGCCAGGGCAATACGAGTACCAGCAACCAAACAACACAAGAGCCCCTTTGCGCAGATGTGTGCTGCGCACGTGCACGTGTGCCGTGCACGTGTACGTGTGCCGTGCACGTGCGTGATCTGGCCATCACTGCGATACTGGAACAGCCCACCTGAAAGGGGAGCGGGTTGGTAGCTCCCCCAGCGCCGCAGCAAAAAAAGCGAATCCCGCTGCGCAGGGGTGCCCCCCTCGCGCCAGGGGCCTCAGGTCTGGGTCTGCCTTGCGCCCCTGCCCTGCAGGCCCCACCTGGAGCCGCCCCGCCGCCCTCGCGTGCGGCAGCTCCGGGGCGCTCGCCGCGCCGCCCGCGGCGCGCCCCTCGGCGGCCGCGGCGGCCGCGGCCGCGGCCGCGGAGCTCTTCGGGCACTGGGCGGACTTCCTGCGGCCGAGGAGCAGAGGGCCCATGGCGCCAACATCGCAGAGCGGATGCCGTGCGGGAGGCGACGGGATGGGCCCGGAGGGTCCTGGAGAGTCTCGTGCCGTATCTCGAGGTGAATTTCGTGCGGGTATTTTGTTGGCGAGGGGTGAAGGCTGAAAAACATCCACGCGAAATCCACTTCGTTTTTTACTCGCTTTTTCGGGGTTTTGCGTTGACAGAAATCCATGCAAAAATCCGCTGCAGCACGTCTGCAAGGTCGGTGCAGTGAGAGGGCGCCAGCCGCACCTTCCGCGGCAACTGCCGTTAGGACGGCGACCTCGTGACTCGTCCCTGTGAAACGCTCTCCGGGGGGACGAGGTGTCCCTGGGAGGGCCACGTGGGGGCCTCTGTTCCCCAACGTGTGGTCCCTCTTGGGGGGCCTGAGGAATCCGCCAGCGGAGCCACTGGTTCGTCGGCGCTTCTGCAGATGCAGAAGCGCCGACGAACCAGTGGCGGAGCCACAGAGCCACTCTCCAGGTGCAGTCTTGTTCCACACGAGAACCTGCTGCGCAGAGCACACCCGGCGAGACGTCGAGGGTATGGGCTCGTCAGAGGTCATGTCTGGTTGTCCTCCTCGTCGCTCTTGCTGGGCTTCCGGGGGGGGCCCTCGACGCCACGGCTGGGCGCGACTCGGACGACTGTGGTCGGGATGGGGCCCCAGGCCCCGGAGGAGTCCGCTGGTCGATCACGATCCGATCTTTGATGTTGCTGTTGGTCGCGGGCGGCAGCCGTCCACCGATGCCGGTACCGGCCTGGCCTGGTCGAGTGGACGCGCCCCGCTGGCCTGGCCAGGAGGGCACAGCTGTCGAGCCCAGGCCCGGGCCAGGGGCCTTGCTCAGTGTCGCTCAACCGATCCCCCATCCCCATCCACATCTCGAGCCCCACCGTCTCACCACCTCAGTTGGAGATACGCCCCTCGAAACCTGAAGAGAGCAGCCTATATCCCCATCCAAGGTGGTAAATCCGCCAGTGGGGCCCAGCCCACGCTTGTGGGGATGGGGATCGTTTAGACGCTGCTCACTTGCCGAGGTGGGTGGATGGGTGTCCGTCCTCGCAGCAAGGAAGTTCTCCGTGAGGCTGGACGTGAAGATGAAGAGGGGCGCTGCGCCGTACCCGAGGACCCGTGGTAGAGGCAGAGGGCGGGTCGGGCCAGGCCGCCCCCCCAGTGGGGGCTGGAGCAGATGGGGTCGCAGGGTCCCACCGCATCGCACGTGCATCGGCGGTGCGGCGCGATCCGGAGCCCGCTGCTCTGCGTCCCAGCGGCGCCGTTGCATCGCCGATGCGTCCGCTTCGCGGTGCGGCCCTCCCCCCGTCTGCTCCGGGCACCATCGGGGCGGCCGCAGCCGGGCCACTCGGGGGGTCAGCTGCCGCTCCGTTCCGGCCCGTCCGAGACGCGCACGCGTCCGGCTCGCCGTTGGTCTGCTTGCTGCCTGGTCCCCGCCCGAGGGGGAGCTGGTCCCCCTTCGCGGCCCCCTTTGGACGGAGCCCCGCGAGGAACCCGAACCGCAAGAAGCCGATCCCCAAGGTGAAGGGGATCGTCCGGAAGCTGCTAGACTGAGCCGCCCTGCCTCCGGCCGCGCCTTCCCACCCCAGCATGCGGCGGCCGCACGCGCCGTAGCCGGTATCCGCTGCGGACCCATGAGGCATGAGTGCGAGGCTGCAAAGAGGTCTCTTCTCTCGGCTGAGAAGCCTGCTCCGATATCAGCAATCTCTTCCTGCATGCCCTGGCTGACCGCGACGACCAACGGCAGTCAGCTCACCACTGCTTATCCTCGTATCGAAGACGCCTACGGCGAATCACTGCCGCCCCTTGCCCTCTAGAAGTGCCCATGTGGCCGAGCGTTGTGGCAAGAGCTCTGCCAAGCTATCGGAACATGTGTTCCCCCAACCGTTGTGGAAACTCTTCGGGGAACATTTGGGGGAGTATGATGGCGAAGATCAGGAGGAGCGGAGGAGGACGTTGAGAAGGAGGAGGAGGAGGAGGAGGAGGAGGAGGAGGAGGAGGAGGAGGAGGGGGCATCTTGGGAGCATCTGGGGGCACTCTTGGGGCCTCCTGGGAGCTCCCTGGGAGCCTCTTGGAGGCATCTTGGGGGCCTCCTTAGGCCTCTTGGGGAAATTTGCGGGCTTCTCGGGGGCCTCTTCGGCTCTCTTGGTGGGCTCCTGGCCCATCTGACGCCGTCGGAAGCCGGGCCGACTTGGGGCCCTCTTGGGGTGCTCCAGGGCCGTCTCGGAGGCTTTCTTGGGCGTCTTGGAGGCCTCTTGGGCCGTCGGGGGCCCTCTTGGGGCCGTCTTGGGGGCCTCTTGGGCCGTTCTGGGGCCATCTTGGAGGCTTCTTGGGCGCTCTGGGGGCGCTCTTTTGGGGCTCTTGGGCCATCTCGGGCCGTCGGAAGGCCGAACATAAGCAAATGCCACAATCCTTCAAACACCGAAGGGCCGTCAATAATTTTGGCCTCTTCGGGCCTTCCTGGGGGCCCTCTCGGAGGCCTCTTGGGCCGTCTTGGGTCGTCTTACATCTTCGGCCTTCTTGGTGTGCTCGTGGCCCGTCTGACGCCGTCGGAAGCCGTCTTGGGAGCCTCACTGGGCCGACTTGGGGCCCTCTTGGGGTGCTCCAGGGCCGCCTTGGAGGCTTTCTTGGGCATCTTGAAGGCCTCTTGGGCCGTCTTCGGTCCCTCTTAGGGCCGTCTTGGGGGCTTCGTGGACAGTCCTGAGGCCATCTTGGAGGCCTCGTGGGCGCTCTGGGGGGCGATCTTGGGAGCCTCTTGGGCCGTCTTGGGCCATCGGAAGGCCGAAAAGAAGCACATGCCCAAACCCTTCAAACACCAAAGGAACGTCAATCAAGAATGTTGGCCTCTTCGGGCCTTCCCGGGGACCCTATTGGAGGCCTCTTGGGCCGTCTCGGAGGCCTCTTGGGCACCCCTTGGGCAGTCTTAGCTGTCGTGGAGGCTTCTTGGGCGGACTTGGAAGTATCTTGGACCCTCTGGAGCCGTCTTGGAGGCCATCTTGGCCATCTCAGAGCCATCTTCGGCCGTCTTGGTGGGCTCCTGGCCCGTCTGACGCCGTTGGAAGCCGCCTTGGGAGCCTCTCTGGGCCGATTTGGGGCCCTCTTGGGGTGCTCCAGGGCCGCCTTGGAGGCTTTCTTGGGCGTCTTGAAGGCCTCTTGGGCCGTCTTGGGGCCCTCTTAGGGCCGCCTTGGGGGCTTCGTGGACAGTCCTGAGGCCATCTTGGAGGCCTCTCGGGCGCTCTGGGGGCGATCTTGGTAGCCTCTTGGGCCGTCGGAAGGCCGAAACGGAGCAAACACGACAATCCTTCAAACCCATAAGGCACATCGATGAGTTTAGCCTCTTCGGGCCCTCCTGGAGGACCTCTTATTTCGCTGGCTTCCGCCAGCGGAGCCGCCCCCGTTCCACTTCCGCAGGCTTCCGCCGGCCTTCCGCCGCCCCCCGCCGAGGAAGCGGTGGCAACTCGTTCGGCCCTCGGAGGCGAGGCCTGTCCTGGAGCGCCCTGCATCGTGCCCGCTTTGCCATGGCAAGCAATCAATCCTCCCCGCCTCCTCCTCCCACACCCTCTTTGCAGGGCGGCCGGGCAAGAATGCCGAGATGAACCAGGCCGTGGCAATGAGGGCCTCCCAGGAGACTCAAGCAGCAAGGTCCAACGAGGCCCAACAAGGCCGTTCCTCGATCCTCCTTTGCAATTCCCCAAAGAGTCCTGGAGGTCCCCAGAGGTCTCTGCGGTCTCCGAAGGCCTTCTGAAGCTTCTGCACACATCCAGAAGTTCCCCCCAGGCTCCAGGCCTCTGGAGGCTACCTGGAGGCAGCAGCGACCAGAACCCCCCTGAAACGTTAAATTATCCTCCTATTCTCTCCCTCCTCCCTCCTGACACTCCCTCTTCCTGACGCGTGCGTGCGCGCGCGGGAGGATGACTGGGCCGAGTGGATGCGCAGGCTGGCGCTCGAGCTGCTGCGCGAGAGCCCCTCTGCTGCGCTCAGGGCCTGCTTCCCTCTGGCGCAGGTCCGTCGGTGTCGTCGTCGTCGTCGTCGTCGTCGTCGTCGTCGTCGTCGTCGTCGTCGTCTTTGTCGTCGTCGTCGTCGTCGTCTTTGTCGTCGTCGTCGTCGTCGTCGTCGTCGTCGTCGTCGTCGTCGTCGTCGTCGTCTTTGTCGTCATCGTCGTCGTCTTCGTCTTCGTCGTCGTCATCGTCGTCGTCGATGGGGACACAGAGAGAGGGAAAGAGCCGCAGGAGGAGCTGTAGAAGGCGGGCCCAGAGGAGGAGGAGGAGGAGGAGGAGGAGGAGGAGGAGGAGGAGGAGGAGGAGGAGGATGATGATGAGGAGGAGGAGGAGGAGGAGGGAGAAGAGGAGCCGCTCTCAGCCGCTATGCCGGCCAGGTCTACTACCCGCTGCAGCGAGAGCTGCTCCATGTCTCCTTCCTCGCCTGCTGGCTGCACCTCCAGGATATTGTGCCGCCTGCCGCCTGCGCGATCACGCGCCACTGGTCGGCGGGCCAGAGGTATGCTCGCCTTGCGGTCGTCGGCCCCGACCTCCAATTGTCTCGTCAAAAACAAACGCACGACAGGAAATCATTGTGGAGATTCCGCCCCCTGAGGGAAAGCTGGCCCCCATGACTGGCTGGATTTGAGAGCGCTGGGGACCCACGCCGTGACCAAGCCACGGCGTCGCGAGGGTTCAGCTAGACGTGCGATCACCAGCTTCAGTCGGCCTTTCCTGGTCACACGATCTACTCCGCGTGTTCATGAAATCAGCTTTTCATCGGCGTCGAATGTTGCAGACACAAACCATCGGGCAGGTAGAAAAGCGATGCTTGCGCGTGGACCCCAATCATTGCTTCCTGGGGTTCGACCGGTAAATCCTGCGGCAGCACTGAGGGCTAGTAGGTCCAGCGGTAGCTTGTAGGGGCTAGTTCAGAGAGCTGGCGTTGAATCCTTTCTAGCGGCTAGTGGGGCCAGCGGGAGCGAGTAGTGGCAAGTACCGGGAACGAATGGTGGCGGCGATCGGTGTTGGCGGGCCATCTACAGTTACGGGAATCATTACGGGACCTGTCCTCGCCGATAGGCTCCAGGAAGCTGGCCTGGTTTCTGACCACTTTGCAGGCGCACGAGGTTGCACGCGCAAGGATGGCCTAGCGGTTGCTTCAGATGCTGCTGAACATGTCATCGATGTTGCTTAAGATGCTGCTTAAGATGTCCGATCGCTTCTTCATCGATGCCTTGGCTGTAACAGGTGCTAGTGGCCTGTAATAGGTGCTAGTGTCGACAGTCAGGGCTGGCAGGGCTAGAGAAGAGCCAGTGTAGCATCGGAAATTATTACTGGCGGCTATCGCTGTTAGTGGGGCGGGTGGGATCTAGTGGCAGTGGCTGGCGTCAGGAGCTAGCGTTGGTGAGAATCAGAAGCAGGTCGGCTGCTGCCGGCTATTAAGGGCCTGCGTCGGGAATCAGAAGTGGCGTTGGGGGCGAGTGTCAGGGACCAGACCCGGCGGCTGTCTGGGCTAGGCCGCTGGGGATTCGAAGAAGGCAGCGTCGGGAACTACTTTGTGGCAACCAGGGCTTGCGGGGGTAATGGTGACCAGTACACACGAGTGTCGGGAACCAACGTTTCGGCAGTGGGTGATACTATCAGGAACCAGTGTCGGCGAACAGTAGGTCTCGTAGTGGCAGGTGGGCGCTGGTAGCCAGTGAACGCCAAAATCATTTAAATACCAAAGGAATATCAAAGATCTTGGCCTCCTGGAGGTACTCTGAGAGCCCTCTTGGGGCGTCTGAGGGGCTTCTTGGGCCGTCTGGAGGACGTCTTGGGACGTCTGGGGCCATCTTGGCCGTCTTAGAGCCGTCGTGGGACCGTCTTGAAGGCCATCTTGGGCCATCTTGGCCGTCTTGGAGGCCATCTAGACGCCGTCTTCGGCAGGAAAATCAACGACAAACCGATTTTCTGGGTGGCCAGCATGTGGGTCAGACGCTTTTTGGATGCATGCGAAGGTGTTTTGGGATGCCTCGCGGGTGCCTCGGTGAATTCTTGGAAGTCTCTTGGGGGATCCTTGGGGCCTCTTGGGGCCTCTTGGGGGCCTTCCAGGGGCCTCTGGGGGGCTCCTCGGGGCCACCTTGGGGGCCGTTTTGGGGGTCTCGTGGACTCGTCTTGGGGGCCTTCTGGGCCGTCTTGGGTGGCTCTTAGGCTGTCTTGGGCCCCTCGCGGGCCCTCTTGGGGCCCTCGTGGGACGTCTTGGGGATCCCTTTGGCCGTCTTGAGGCACTCTTGAGGCGTTTTGGGGCGGTCTTGGGCCGTCTTGGAGCCCCGTTGGAACGTGTTCTTCTTCCTCCTCCTCCTCCTCCTCCTCCTCCTCGTCCCTCCTCCTCTTCCTCCTCCTCCTCCTCCTTGTCCTCCTCCTCCTCCTCCTCCTCCTCCTCCTCCTCCTCCTCCTCCTCCTCCCCCTCCTCCTCCTCCTCCTCCTCCTCCTCCTCCTCCTCCTCTCCTCCTCCTCCTCCTCCTCCTCCTCCTCCTCCTCCTCCTCCTCCTCCTCCTCCTCCTCCTCCTCCCTTCTCCTCCTCGTGCCTCCTCTTGGGCTCCTTTTCGGCCACCTTTGGCCCCTCCGGCCACATGCACAGCGAGAAGTTCCGAGAGGTCTGCGGCACACCCCAGAGAATCCGCGCACTCTGGGCCTGGGCCCTCTGACAGCTCCTGATGGCTGGGGGCTCACGGGACCTGAGCATATGCCTGCTGCGCATGTTGGTTTTAGTGCTTCAATCGGCTTGCCATTGGTTTCTGCACAGCCCCCGTGAGGGGAAGCGGGTTTGCTGCTCGGAGCTGCCAATTGCCAGTGGCTTCGTTTGCAGCGAAAGAGATGCCGTTTCGTTCCTCGGTGCACGGTCCCGATTTTAGTTGTCTCTTGGTGCGTAGAGATACATGGAGTTGTTCCTCTCCTCGCCCAGCCCCCTTCTCTTCCGCGCCTGCCCGCCCTCGGGCCCTGAGGGCCTGGTCCGCTCCTCGTGGGTCCGGTTCGCTCCTCGGTAGGCCTGTTTGCATCGGCTGCTTCGTGCCGACGCCGGTCGCGCATTCGGACTTGGGGCCAGCTGGTTTCGTGCCGATACGATGTCTGGGACCACTGTTACTGTCTAACCTTTTTGTTGTTCTCTCTCTCTCTCTATATATACCCCATTCCCTCCTCTCCTCTTTCTGATCCTCTTGTACCGTGGTGCTGGATTTTAGTGCTGGCCGTTGGGGGCTGCTACTGGTTTCAACGCTAGGCCTGTTGATGGTTTCACTTGCCTTGGCAAATAATTTTGGCAACCACGCTGGCCTTTTCCTCTACTCCTTTTCCTCCTCCTCCTCGCCAGCCATCGCCATTTTGGCTCAAGAAGTTTGTGCGCCCTGGACAGGAAGCGGATACTTCTAGTCCGAGGCTAGACCCCGACGTCTCTGTGAGCTCCTGTCGGAGCGACCTCTTCTGTTCCGCACCCGAACTGACGACTGCGGGTGAACTGAGGCATTGCCAGTTCCTGCGGGCGCCAGTGCAGGTCTGTTCCGCATGGCATGCGATTGTGACAGGAAGGAGAAGAGGGCCAAGACAACTAAGAAACCTGCCACAGGTGAGGCTCGCACCCCCGCTCGTCATGCTCGCGATCGGGCTCCTGCTCCTCTGTCTGCTGATGGCGTGTCCGAGGTCTCGCCAAAGGTCTTCCCCGCCTGCGACGCCGCGCCACCGCCCCAGTGGTCGGGTTGCTGGCTCGCGAGCCGCCCGCGATGGCGGTGAGGTGGCGGGGGCGACGGGGCAGGGCTCGCAGCGGTCCAGGAGCGAGCGTGGCGGCATCCCCCCTGGCGGCTCGCAGGATGAGCGGGCCCGCTCTTTTGCTGCAGCGGCTGCCCTGCGGGAGGCAAGCCTTCTCGACCCGCTGGAGGCGGCGCGACGCCCACGTTCCCGTCGCAGGAGACGGCTGGTGCCGAGGGGCCTCATGGTGTTGCGGCAGCCGCTGGCGGTGGCTCGGCTGTGGCCCCTGTGGGCCCGTTGCCGCGGCCCTTCCCGCCAGGCTCTGTCAGCGGTGGTGCGCATCATCATCTGGCTGGCGGCTGGCGTGGAGGGGGACCTGCTGGCAACGGTGCCGTTCCTGTGCCTGACGCCGCTGCTGCCTCGAGCTCTGGAGGCGGTGGCCCTGGTGGCCCACGGCTTGATCCTTGGGCTGGCTCGCTGCCCCACTCGGAGCGTGACGCCTTCAAGAAGCAGCTGCTTGATGAGGTTCAGAGCACCACCAAGGAGGCTGTGGACTCCCTCGTCAGTCGGCGGCTGCCTGGCGTCATCGAGCCGCCTCTCAACAGGTTCGACGAGTCGCTGCAGCGGCGGTTCGCGGCCATTGACCGACACACGCAGAGGCTTGACCAGCGATGTGATGCTACTGACCGGGCTCGTGTTCATCTCGAGGAGCGGATGACGAGGCTCGAGAAGGAGCTCGCTCTTGCCAAAGCCGTTCCCGCGGTCCCCATAGCGCGGACAGCCGACTGGGCTCGCGCCACGGACCTTGGGATCTTCAAGGCGTTTGCGAACGACGACGTGGCTCCGGTGGAAGCTGCGCTTCGGGGCTGGCTGACAGGGGCTAGCTATACCATGGGCGAGAACTTCAACATCGAGGGTGTGCCGCTGGCGCAGCGCTTTGTGGTCAGGTTCACGGGCCTGGCGGCCACGGCGGCGTCGCGTGTTCGGCAGGCTCGCGCTTTTCTTCGGGGCTCTACTGGTGCTTGGAAGCAGTTATTCGCGGAGATGCCTTGCCAGCGGCGGGTGCAGCTGCGCGTCGGGCTCGGCCGCGACCGCAGCGAGATTGCCCTCGAACGAGCGGCCCAGAGGCAGCGGGCGGCTTTGGCTGAACAGTCGGGGCGGCGATGTCCCATGGATCGCGATGCGGGGCGTGTCTACGTCGGACGGGAGCTGCTGGCCAGGGCCCTCGTCGGCCCCGCCGAATCCCCCAAGGCCCAGTGGAACCCCGGCCTCCTGGCGGATCTCAACCTGGTTCGCGCCGACCACGTCCGTCTCGCCTCGCGCCTCTTCGAGCCGCGGGAGATCCAGCGGGGTGGGCAGCGATATCTCGGGCACCGAGCGGGCGGCATTTGGCTCATGGAACGCTCGGGCCCCATTGCAATACCAGTCGATTTCTTTGGCGTGGAAGGCGGAGACGCTGCGGCCATTGCTTGACTCACCCACCACCTTTGCCGTGCAAGAGGTCCATGTGCCTGGCAACGCCGTCTCAGAACTACTTGGTTGGCTTTGCTGCGACTTTGAAGTTTTTGACGCTCCACCTGCCGTCGTGGCATATGCCGCCGGGGCGCGCGCCCCAGCCCCGAAGCTTGCGATGCGGATGCCCCGAATGACGCCCAGTGGGGCATGGCGAGGCGGGGGAGGAGTGCGCGACTTCTGCTGTGGCCCAGACTGGAGCTGACCGAGGCTATTGGGGCCCGATTTCGTGAAAAGCAGCATCGGGGCCCCGCCTGGGGCCCGAGGTACCTCGAGCGATTCTTTGCCGAGTTCCCCGACTTCTCTAACCCCCTTTCCCTCTTTTATTCCTGAACTTTCTGTGGCGGGCCCCAGCGGCGGCTCCGGGGCCCGGCGGCTTGGCGCGCCGTGCGCGGCTTGCGGGAAGAGGCCCCGAGGCTCTCCCGCGCGTCTCCTTCTGGCTTTCCCTGGGCCCCCCCGCGCGGCTCCCTGTCTCTGCCTCGGCCCAGGTCTTCATTCCCAATGGGGGCCTTCAGGGCGACGGCCCGCTCGGCCAGGACGTCTTTCGGAGAGCGGCCGAGACCCGCCCGTTCGGTCTCAAGAGTCTCTCGAACAAGGTCGTCGCAGCGATGGCGAATGTAGGACTGTCAACCGTGAAGCAGCAGATTGGGGCTCTTATACAGGACGGGTTTATTAAAGGTCGTAACTTTTTGAATGACGTCTACGAGCTCGACTGCCGCGCCAGGCCAGCCAGCTGCTTGCAACGCCCCGCGGCCACGCCCCTCGCGTTTGACTTGTCCCAGACATTTCCGTCGACGGGCCAGAGCTGACCCCCGATCGCGGCCGGTGTCGCGAGACTCACCAGGGGGTGCGAGCGGCTGGTTAGAGGCTTTTACATCCTTAACCTGTGTCACCATGCAAGTGTCGCGGGCGCCTTGCCCCCTCGTGTTATTTGCATTCAGGCGTCCTCCAGGGGCGCCCGCTGGGCGGGGGCTTGTTAGTGATTTCTGCGAACCCCTTTCTCCGGAACGTGTTCCAGACCACCCAGGTCCCTGGGCATGGTCAGGTAGGGGCCTGCGCCGGCGACGTCGCCGCGGTCGTCCTGTTCCTCGGGGACCTGCGGGAGCTGGCCCGAGTGTTCAGGATCACGGCAGCCCTTGCTGGGCTTGTGATGGAGGCTTCCAAACGTTTCGCTGTTCCGCTTCCGGCAAAGGTCGATGCCCAGCTTTTGGAGTTGATTCGCTCGCTGATCGCTGCGGCCGACGCCGCCTGGGCGAACGTCAGGATTTGCGCAGTTGTCCAATACTTCGGCTGATGGATGGATTGGCCCAGGCGCGGGCGAGCGGGAAAAGTGGGCCGATCCGATGAGCAAACTGATTTAGCAGATTCGCGCCATCGCTGATTGCAGGCAAGACCTTGCCACGGGAGTTTCTCGGTGTTTCGCTCGCGCTCTCCTTGTCACCACCTACTCTGTCTTGGCAGGAAGCTGGCATGGAGAGGGCGCTGCTCGCGCGGATCTTCAAGATGCTTGTTTCGGCTGTTCGCTGTAGCGACTGGTTCAACCTAGGGCGGTTCCCTCCGAGGCTGCCCTGAAGAGGGCGGCCCTGGTCACGCTTCCGCGGTGGCAGGCTGCTCTCGCGCGCTTGGAGAACGAGATTAGGTGCCGATGCAGCGTGGCCCTCTGGGCGAGCCCACGTCTGGCCCCGAGCGTCTGGAAGTCGCGTCCCATCGTTTATAATATCAGTGACGCCGCCAGGGGGGTCCTGAGGGCGTTTGACTGCGAGCGGGCGGGCGGAGGGCGGCACAGGCGTTCCGCGCGGGCTCCCGGGATCGCAGCCCCCAATGGCAGCGAGCGTTCTCTGCTGCCCTCATGGGCGAGATCTTTGCCCTGCCGCTGGCCTCCCTGTTCGAGCGCCGCATTCGGAAATGGTTCGGGGGGGGGCAGAGAGCCCCCGCCCAGCGCGTCCAGCGCGCGCGTCTGGACGTGGGCGGGGGCCTGGGCCGCGGGACACTGATTGCAGCGACTCCAAGGGTGTGTCTTCGGCTGTGTTGGCATCCCTCGGCCTCGCTCTCACATGGTAATTGTGATTGCATGCGTCTCCATCGCCAGGCAGCCATTGCTCCCCGCTCTGACCTCCCTCCTCTCATCTTGCCTTACTGGCGCCATCCCTTGCTGGTTTAGGTTGTCTGGAATTGTTCTCGCTTGTCCGTCGGTTGCACTTTTCGCCCCGGACTCGTCGCCCGCCCTTCGGTCGCTCGGCCCCGTCGGTTGGTTTTCGTCTGTCGACGAGCCTGGGGTGACCAGTGCGACCGGCGGACAAGCAAACAGCGAGCCCAAACAGCCAAGACCAGCCAGGAAAGGGGTCGGCCGATGGGCCGAAGGACCGAGGGGCGGCCGACGAGCCCAGGCCGACCTGCGCATGCGACGGACGAGCGAAAGCAAACCCAAACAACCCAAACCAGCCAGGCACGGGGCAGCCGAAGGGCCGAGCGACCGAAGGGGCAGGCCGAGGGGCCAGGCGCGACCAGCGCGGCCGACGGACAAGCGAAAACACCCCAAAACACAACCAAAACCAGCCAGGGAAGGGGCCAGCCGAGGGGCCAGAGCGACCGAGGGCCAGGGAACGGGGCCAGGCGCGGCCAGTGCGACCGACGGACAGACGAAAGCACGCCAGAAGAACCGAGACCAGCCAAGGGAAGGGGTCGTCCGACGGGCCGAGGGTGACCCAGGGCTATTGCGCGCCGCTGAGGCGGGGTTCGGACATCTGCAACCTGCTTCGTGTAATGTTCGCGTTTTTTTGTGCTTTCTCCGCCTTCCTACTTTGTGGTTCTACCCAGTTCTACCGGCCACAGTGCATCTAGAAATGTACGGCGTTTTTCCTGTCCTCACCCAACCCCTTTCTATTCCGTGCTTGCCCGCTCGCGGGTTTGTTGGTCCGTTTTGCTTCTCGACGGCCCTGTCCGCTCCTCGGCAGCTTTAGTTTGCATCAGTTGCTCCGTGCCAGCGCCGGTCGCGCATTCGGACTTCTAGCCAGCTCGTTTTGGACCGATCCGATGTTTGGAATCATTCGCATTGTCTACCTTCTCTCTTCTGTCTCACTCTCTCTTTCCCCCCCGCGTCGAGGCGGAAGAAATTTGCCTGGCGAAGGTCCCGACCATGCGCAGATGCGAGCATGGCCGCGCTGGGCATTTCCTTCGGTGGATCTCCTTTTGGGGCAACGAGGTGTGGGGCAGGGGCGCGCGCGGGCGCGGCCATGAGGCGTTCCGTGGCGATCCATATGGGGCCACGAGGCGTGTGAGGCGTGTGCCGAAATGGAGCGGGTCCGTCATGCGTGCGTCGCCACTGGGGCTTTGGGTGGAGCTCCCTATGGGGCCACGAAACGCGTGAGGGGTGCGCCGAAATGGGCGGGGACGACGCGTGCGATTGTCGCCACTGGGGCCTCTGGCGGAGCTCTGCACGGGGCCACGAAGCACGCGAGGGGCGTGCCGAAATTGGCGGGGGGGGGGGGGCGCATGTCATCACAGCCCAGAATTGCGACGTTCGTGCGCTCAGAGCCTCCTACTGGACCTCGCAATGGGCACCACCAGGGACCAGCATGTTGGCCTCCCCCCTCCACTCGACGACCTCGTGCGACGAGACGGACGGCGACGGCGAAATCAATCGCCCGTTCGTATGTCAAATTCCCTCTTGTGGGCTACGGTTTGGGATTCTCAAACAGCTGGTTACACATCAGTCGAAATCTCGCGGGGACGGACGCGGTATGCCATCGCTACTCGCCACATTACATAACGACAATACATGCATCGTATGCCAGACTACTTTCCCAAATCCAGATCATGATACACGACATCTACGACGTTCACGTATTGCTGGTAGGTGTATACCGGAGCTCACACGTCATCTATATCCACGGCACCAGGCTACAGGTGCAGTGCAGTGCCCCCTTCGTGAATATGAACTCGATTCCGTCTGCCAGCGCGAATTCCAGGACCATTCTAAGCATCGAGCCCATCCTCTCTCGCATCTTCCGCCGTCGCCATCGGGGCCGATGCCCCTGCCGACTATCAGGGCCGAGGCCCGCCCGACGGAGTCGGGCCCAGCGCAGCACCGAGCAGCCGCCTCGCTCAGACCTGCGCCTCGGCCACCTCGCGCGATCGAGGGCGCCCCAGCAGCCGGGGGAGACCTCCGCCGAGCAGCGGACCTCATTCTGGGCACGCGCGAAGCTCCTCGACAGAGGCCACGCGTCGCTCGACCGCCACGTCGGACAGCAGCCCCTCCGACAGCGACTCCAACAGCGGCCCCATCCTCCTGCGCAGCGTCGAGGCCCACGCTGCCAGTGCTACGACGTGAGCACGATGACGGCAGCAGCGGCGCTACCAGGGGGGACTCCACCGCCGAGGCCGCGCGGCCAGCAGCCGAGCCGAAGCGCGGGAGCTGGCGCCTCCCCCTGGACTCTTCCAAGGGCTCCAAGGCATCTGGCGCCGCCTCCAGGAGCGACGAGGGAGCCCCCCCCCCGCGGCCAAACCCCGCCTCCAGAAGACGCCGATGAAGCCAGGTCAGCCACAGAGCGCCAGTCGACGCGGCGATCGAGGTCGATGAGGACGAGCAGGCAGCCAAGGGCGACATGCGCAGGAATCGCAGGGGCGGCCGCAGGGCGAGGAAGGGGGGGGGGCCACAGCGACGAGGTCTGGAGCAGCAAGGACAAGGACCTGATGGCCTTGCTACGCACCACGCCCAAGCTGCTGCTCCAGACCACGCACAGGACGCGCCTCAACAGCAGCATCAACATAGACACATACACAATGACGACGAAGCATCCACTCGTGGGCGGGGTCTTCGCCGGGCTGGAGGGCTACGAGAACATGCTCGACAAGCCCCGCAGCGGATGCGCTCCGGTTTTGGGGCTCGCCGCGTTGGAGAGCCTCCTGGAGCGCGACGTGGGCGGAGCACTCAAGCGGGAGATCAGCGCCGACCTGGAGCAGGCCCAGCCGTCCGACGAGACGGCCGAAGTTGAAGTCTCGAAGTACGAGCTGCAGCAACATATCAGCTTCATGCGGCGCGAGCGATGCTTCGACGCGGACAAGGCCAAGCTGATCGAGGGGGCCCCAGAGTGGCCAGGCGCTGGCCGCCGAGGGCGCGGCGCAGCACCGGCGCGGGGTGGCGCCGGCGGGATGGCTCGAGGAAGAGGTGGCGCACTGGCTGGAGGCACTCGAACAACAGTTTTTGTTAGGGCCCCCCCCGCCCCCTGCCGGCCGCCACGGTGCGCGGGCACAACGCCAGCGCCCCCCCTCAGAAGATTCAGAGCAGGAGCGTGCCACATGGCTCGCGCCGCCTGTCTCAGAAGACTCAGAGCAGGAGCGTGCCGACGGGCGCGCGCCGCCGGTCTCAGCAGCTTTTGTCTTCGCTTCTAGGCCAGACCCCCAGCAGCCGCCAACTCGGGGTCGAGGGCGCGCGCAGCCAGTCTCAGTAGACTCAGAGCAGGAGCGCGCCGCAGGGCGTGCGCCGCCAGTCCTGGAAGACTCAGAGCTGGGGCATGCCGCAGGGCGTGCGCCGCCAGTCTCAGCTTTTTTGGTTTTCTTGTCTGGGCCAGCAGACTCGGGATCGGCAGGGCTGGCACAGCCAGACTCCGCCGACTCGAGGTCGGTCGCCCCATCTTGCAGGGCCCGAAGGCCGACGCAATCAGCTCGATACAGCAGCAGAAGACGAGGCCGCAGCTTTTTCGTTTGACGAATAAATGCCTCCTCGGAGCGTCTCGCGGCAACGCGACGCAGCCCCCCTGCGTCAGCGCCCGCGATACGTGGTCCCAAGAGCGGGGGCTAACGAGAGATTCGGCTCTCTGCGGCGGACCATACTTGTTTCTTTAACGCTGTGCAGGCTCGTTCGGTCCTGATACCGAGTAAAGATACTGGGGCCTTTCGTCGAACTCCCAATGGAGCAACGAATCGCAGTATCGGGTGGCGCGGGACGCATGTGGTCTTAGCCGCTGGGGCCTTCGGTGGAGCTCTCCCTATGGGGCCCCGGAACGCCGTACTGGGTGGCAGGGCGCGCATGTGGACGCAGCAACTGGGGCCTTCGGTGAAGCTCCCCATGGGGGCACGAAGCGCCGTATTGCGTGGCGCGGGGCGCATGTGGTCACAGCCGCTGGGCCTTCGGTGGAGTTCCCTATGGGGCCACGAAGCACCGTACCGGGTAGCGCGGGACGCATGTGGTTACAGTCCTTAGGGCCTTCGGTGGAGCTCCCTCTGGGGCCACGACGCGCCGTGCTGGGTGGCGCGGGGCGCATGTGGTCGCAGCCAGTGGGGCTTTCGGTGGGGCTCCCTGTTGGGCCACGAAATCCCGTAGTTCGTGGCGCGGAGCGCATGTGGTCACAGCATTTGGGGCTTTCGGTGGGGTTCCAATGGGGCCACGACGCGCCGTACTTGGTGGCACGTGACGCATGTGGTCACAGCAACTGGGGCATTCGGTGGGGTTCCCCATGGGGCAACGAAATCCTGTATCTGGTGGCGCGGAGCGCATGTGGTCACAGCAACTGGGGCCATCGGTGGAGTTCCAATGGGGCCACGACACGCCGTACTTGGTGGCACGGCACGCGTGTGCTCGCAGCCGCTCGAGCCTTCGGTGGGGCTCCATTTGAGGCCATGAAGCGCAGTACTGGATTGCGCGCGGCGCATATGGTCACAGCCTCTGGGGTCTCCGGTGGAGATCCCAATGGGGCCACGAAGCGCCGTACTGGGTGGCGCGGGACGCATGTGGTTAAAATCATTGGGGCCTTCGGTGGAGCTCCCTCTGGGGACACGAAACGCCGTACTGGGTGGCGCGTGACGCGCGTGGCACAGCCATTGGGGCCTTCGGAGGATCTCCCCATGGGACAACGACGCGCCGTACTGGGTGGCGCGGGACGCTTGTGGTCGCAGTCACTCGCTGTTTCGGTCGGTCTCTCTCTCTGGGGTCACGGGCCACGACGCGCCGCATTGCGTCGGGTGGCGCGGGGCGTTTGTGGTCACAGCCATTGGGGCCTTCGGACGAGCTCCTTGTGAGGCCACGAAGCGCTGTACTTGGTGGCGCGGGGCGCCTGTGGTCACAGCCGCTGGGGATTCCGGTGGCGCTCCCTATGTGGCCACGGAGCGCTGTTGTGGGCGGCGCGGGGCGCATGTCGTCACAGCCATAGGGGCCTTCGGTGGAGATTCGCATGGGGCCACGAAACGCCGTATTGGGCGGCGCGAGATGCATGTGGTCACAGCCGCTGGGGCCTTCGGTGGAGATTCGCATGGGGCCACGAAGCGCTGTACTGGGTGGCGCAGGATGCGCGTGGTCACAGCCGCAGGGGCCTTCGGAGGAGCTTCCTATGGGGTCAGGAAGCGCTGTACTGGGTGGCGCGGGACGCATTTGGTCACAGCCACTGGGGCCTTCGGTGGGGCTCCCAATGGGGCCACGAAGCGCTGTTGTGGGTGGCGCAGGACGCATGTGGCCACAACCACTGGGCTTTCGATCGAGTTCCCCAGAGGGTCACGAAATGTAAGAGGAGTTTGCCGAGGACGGGGGGGAGGGGCGACGATGAGGAGGAGGAAGGAGGAACGCGGGGCGCCGTCTCTTCAAAACGAGGACCCAACAACAGGTTTGCTGGGACAAATTCAAGGTTCTCGTGGTGGTGTCAAGTGCCCCTGCGAGCTCCTTTATGGTTTCCGTTTTTCCACTTCTCTTCCTCCTCCTCTTCCTCCTCCTCCTCCTCCTTTTCCTCCTCCTCCTCCTCCTCGGCCTCCTTCCTCTGTTCTCTCGTTTCCTCTGTTGCCCTCTCTCGCCTCGCCCCCTTCGATACGGTAGAGGGAAGCAATTGCCGAACACTCCCCTCCCCCCCAGACTCAAAGATGGCACGCGCGGAGAAGATTGCGGTCGAAGTGCAACACATCAGACCCACCGCCAATGTTGAAATCTGGGGCGAGGGGGAGGCGTTGACAGATGAATGTGGCATTTGTGTTCGCTGTTTTTCCCGAGGCTTGTAGGGAACCCCGACCATGGTTCTGTCGGTTGCGTACACATCCTTGCCCTAGACCCGGTGGCCCAAGGAGAGCCAGTTGGGCTGAGGGCGACTAGGGGTTGGTAGGGGTCTACTGACGGAAAGCGGGATGGCCAGCAGTGGATGTTACAGGCGAGAACCAGAGCGATCGCCGGAGCGAAACGTACGCAAGTAATGCAGGGCCGTGCAGGCTGGCAGCAGCCAGCTAGACTTACGTCAGGCTTGTCCCTCTACAGGAGGGATATTCAAAAATAGCAAATAAATAGTATGGGGACGATTGTTTGGTTATTTTTTGACCATGTTGGTCCATTTTTTGGGAATTCTCAATTTGCCCAAAATTTTCGCTGTAGGGGGACACGCCCGACTTAAAGCCAGACGTGACTGGTCTTGGAAGCCCGGGATTCCAAGCTTCGATCCGACTTGACGGGATGCCCCTCGCACGCTGCGTCCAACCGGCTCACGCTGCGCGTGGAGCAAAAACAACACTGGATATAAGCCGGGCGTGTCCCTCTACACTCTACAGGAGAAACGTTCAAAAGTAGTAAACAAATAGTCAGGGGAAGATTGTTTGAGCATTTTTTCGTTATTTGTTTTGTTTGCTTGTTCTTCGTCCAAAATCCGCCTGTAGAGGGACAGGTCCGACCTAATACTGGATGGACATCGGGCTCACGCTGCTTAGGGCTAGAAAGGCTCAGCAGGGGCCAGTGGTCCAACAGTCGTCCTAGGCAGAGGCAGAAGATTCGAGCCGCGTCCTCCGACGGAGCCCGCGCGCACGGGGGCGGAGCGAAGCGAGGATGAGGAGCGGGACAAGGGATCAAGGCAGGGCGGAGGAGGTGGGGGGAGGAGGCAGAGGAGGAAGCGCACCAGATGATGGGAGGTGGTCTGGTCGGAGGGCAGTCAATGGCCAGTGCGTGCTAGCGGCGAGGGCGGGCATTGACCAGTGGCGCCAGAGAGGATTGTGACCGGAGGACGCCGTGTCGTTGGGGAGGGCGCGCCACAGCAGGGAGAGTGGGCTTGCACGAGAGCCGCCCTGGACAGTCATGGGCAGCCTGAGGCCTGCCGTCCTGGGAAGCCGTTCCAAGTCCGCCACGTTAGAGCCATCAGCGCAACACGGTTCTTTACCCTTTGGTCGGGGGCCACATGCGAACCCTACCCCTGACCCCCCACGGTTTCTGAGGGGGAGGGTGGGGTTCGCTTCTCTCGGGAGCTCCCGAACGAAGTGAACCCCACCCTCCCCCTCAGAAATCGTGGGGGGTAGGGGTAAGGTTCGCATGCGGCCCCTATTTGGGCTGTCTGGCGGTGCGGCCCCCCTCGCAGACCCCAGTGAGACCTAGCCTCCCTCCCCCCCTCTCTTCATGTGCTGCCATAAGCACAGGTTCGCGCAGTTTCTTGCGCCCCCTGTTGCTGACGTGCCAATTCTTACGCGTAGCCTCCAGAACCCGCCCACGTTCCCAGCCCCCCGTTCCCTTCTCCCTCTCTCCCTCTCTCCCTCCCCTCCCTCCCTCCCTCTCGCCCTTTCTCCCTCCTTCTCTCTCCGTCACCCACTCTTCTCTGCTTCACTCCCTCAGCCGCTGTTCTCCCTGCCTCCCTCCCTCCCTCTCGCCTCCCTGTCTCTCACTCTCTTTGTTTGTTTTAGTTTTCTCTTTCTCTCTCTCTCTCTCTCTCTTTCTCCCCCTTTTTTTCTCGCTCTCTCTCTCTCTCTTTCTTTCTATCTCTCTGTCTCCCCCTTGCCCCATTCCCCCCCCCCCCCCCCCTTCCTCTGTGGAGCGGAGCTCCCGCAGGACGCGTACCCAGACCTGCTGGCGCGCTCCCTGGAGACCGCGCTGCACTCCCCGAACCTGCCGCCGGACATCCTGCAGGCCGCCGCTGTTTTTCTCCTCCCGGCGGCGGCGGCCGTTCGAAGCTCCGGGGGGAGGGCGTGGGCCCTGGGTCTGAGCCGACGTGATCCGCTGGAGGAGGAGGAGGAGGAGGAGGAGGAGGAGGAGGAGGAGGGAGGAGGAGGAGGAGGAGGAGGGAGGAGGAGAGGAGGAGGAGGAGGAGGAGGGAGGAGGAGGAGGAGGCAGGAGGAGGAGGAGGAGGAGGAGGAGGAGGGAGGAGGAGGCGGAGGAGGAGGAAGAGGAGGAGCAGGAGGCGGAAGAGGTGGAGGAGGAGGAGGAGGAGGAGGGGAGGAGGAGGAGGAGGAGGGGCTGGGCAGGAAAAAACAGTTGAATATATCCTGTATATGGCGGGGGTTAACCAACAAACCCTGGGCAGCAGTCCAAGAACCGCCACACTGCTCGGCCAACCTTTTCCTGCTGCATCCTGCGCGCAAGGCTTTCTGCTTTGGGGTCACCTGGCCTAGAGGCGCAACTCCATTTTTAACAGACTCGGCTGCCCAAACATCTCTTGCAAGCCAGTATGCATAAAGGCGGTGACAGGCCAGCCCACAGGGCCAGTCCATAGGCGTTCTTTCCGTTTTACGACCCTTCAAGTATGCATCGCCGTCAGCCTCACTCGGACCTTGGGGGTGTGGGGGGAGGAGTTTGTGTGGGATGAGGGATGGGAGATGTAGTTCCTGTATGGTTTGGGGTTGACCGAAAAACCCTTGGCAGCAACCCAAGGACTGCTACAATATTCCGCCAACTTCTTCTGCATCCTGCACCCAAGGCTTCCTTTGAGATCATCTGACCTATAGGCGCGACCCCCATTAAAAAAAAGTCATCAGCGGATCTGACATCTCGTGCAACCCTGTATCTACAAAGGCTGTGACAGGCCAGCCCACAGGGCCAGCCTAGAGGCATTATTTCTTTTGTTTGTGATCCTCAATCATGTATCACCGCCAGCCTCGCTAGAACCTTGGGGATGAGAGGAGGGGGGCTCAGAGATTTTAGGGGGCTTACCTTGCGTGTGAGGACGTACCTACGTCTTGGGGTCCACCGTAAACCCTGGGCAGCAACCCTAGGACTGGTTGTCCTCACAGTTTCGCAACTGTTACCCTACCGAGGCGACAGTCACCATTGATGCTGGGATCTTTTATTGGTTTACGGGTTGGGGCGGTGTTTTTGTCCACTCCGGTTTGTGTCGACCTCTATCTTACCTGGCGGGCGTCTACTCTCATTGTTTCTCTCTTTCTGGATTTGTTATACCGCGTTTTCCGCGGCGCCCGTCAGGTACAGTGACTCGAGCTGGTCAATGTTATCGCACTTGCAAGAACGCGACGGGCTAGTTCCTCACGTTACTCAAATTTACAAAAGGAGGAGGCGGAGGAGGAGAATGAGGAGGAGGAGGAGGAGGAGGCGGAGGAGGAGGAAGAGGAGGAGGAGGAGGAGAAAGAGGAGGAAGAGGAGGAGGAGGAGGAGGAGAAGGAGAAGGAGGAGGAGGAGGAGGGGGAGGGGGAGAGTGGACAGGGGAGTGGGAGGGGGAGGGGGAGGAGGAGGGGATGGCTGGGGAGGGGTAGGGGGAGGAGTCGAGGACAGGCACTTGGACGGGGAGGGGAAGCAGGGGGTGGGGAGGAGGGGGAAGTCGTCCAGGCGCTGCTGAACCTCGCGGAGTTCATGGACAGGAGCGGCCTCCCGCTACCCATCGACGCGAGGACGCTGGGCGGACTGTCGGAGAAGTGCCACGCCTACGCCAAGGCGCGCTCGTCGTCGTCGTCGCCGTCGCCGGCGCCGTCGCTGCCGCCGTTGCCGTCGCCGTCGCCGTCGCCATTGCCGTCGCCGCCGCCGTCGCCGTCGTCGTCGTCGTCGTCGTCGTCGTCGTCGTCGTCGTCGTCGTCGTCGTCGTCGTCGTCGTCGGCGTGATCGGGACACGGAGGCTCGTCATCGCGCGTCGTCGCCTCTTGATTTCCTCTCCCGCAAGCGGGAGGAGGAGCAGGAAGCGGACTTGGACGCGGCGGTGCCCCCCCCTCTGAACTACAGCGCCCCATGGGCACGCAATTCAGGCAGGAGTTCCGCTTTGAACATGATCTGCCTCCGCTCTTCGAGCTAGAGGATACGCAGCGATAAGCTAGGGTCATGAGATGAAGCAGATGTTCAACGGCAGCCTCACTTTCAGAAGGAGCCGCTGTCCACCCGTGTGACCGTTGCACACTTGTACACGTCTGGTGATGGAATCGGGGGCAGTCCGACGCGAACGCCCCATTCTGAAACAGAACCGTCCCCCTCCCGCGCAATTGCGGCATCATTGTCCACAAAGGGTTCTCACATTTAGGGGTTCTGGCCTCCGTTTCCCAGGCAGTTGGACGGGTCCGCCGAGGATTGCCCACGCGGCCGCCCTCTGCCGCCTCGTGGGCGCTTGCGGGCGCCCCGTGCGCTGCCTGGGGTGGATCCGCCGAGGTTGCGCCACGTTGCCGCCCGTGCCGCCTCGCGGGCGCTCGTGGGCGCCCCGTGCGCTGGCCGGGTGGGCCGAGGTTGCGGCGCGTTGTCGCCTCGTGGGCGCTCGTGGGCGCCACGTGCGCTGGGGAAGTGGGCCGAGGCTGCGCCGCGCTGCTGGCCGTGCCGTCTCGTTGGCGCTCGTGGGCGCCCGTGCTGCACCGCAGCATTTCCACCTCCACAGTTCACGCCACACAGCCCAGACGACGTTGCTTCCACCACGTAGCTTCCGCCGCATACCTGCCACCTCCACCGTGCAGTGGCTCACTGCTTGAGGCCCACGCTTGCTGACGCTTTGCTTGGAGTGCCTTCCCTGGGTGCGCCTTCATCTATGGGATCGGGTTTGCTTTCTCCAGCATGTGGACCCCACGTCTAGGCGTTCGGCTGGTGCCCGGCTGTCGGCGCCTCGTGGGCACCCCGTGCGCTGGATGGAACTTCTGGGTGCCTGGCCACGAGCGTTTCGTGGGCGCCGTGCGCGCTGGGCGGGGCTTCGGGGTGTGTGATTGGTGCCTGCTTGGTGGCCTCGTGGGCGCCTCGTGCGTTTGCTGTGACGTCTGGGTTTTCGGCTGGTTGCCGGCCTCGGGCGCTTTGTGGGTGGACCGCGTGCTGCCTGACAGCTTGCACTACATAGCGTGCACCGCGTAGCCTGCACCACGTAGAGTGCACCGCACGTCTTGCACCACATAGCACGCACAACAGATCTTGCACCATATAGCCCGCACCACATAGCTTCCAACACATAGCGTACACTACATAGCTTGCATCACATAATTGCCACAACATAACGTACACCAAGTACGTACTGTTTGCAACACATAGCTTGCACCACATAGCTTACGTCACCTATATTGCACCAAGTAGATTTTATCGCATCGCTTGCACCACATTGCTTCCAACACGCAGCTTTCACCACACATCTTGCATCATGCAGCTTGCACCACACAGCTTGCACACCCAGATTTCAAGAATGAGTATACCCTGGCAAACATATTTTTTGAGGAAGGCTCAGGCGAGAGCTTAATCGAGAAACGGTTTCCCCCACCTCTGTGTAACCGTTAAGCGTGCGCAGCGCCAAGACCAGGTCCCCATACTTGAAAATGGTTCACCTTCCTTCCGTGTAGCTGTTTGAATTTTGTCAAGGCGAATGTGCGCGGCGCCAGTGAGAGAAACCAATTTTGAGAACGACCCGTTCATCCGTGCAGCCATTGGATTTGTTTCAGGCGAAACCCACTTTTGAAAGCCCTCCGCTCTCCATCCATTGAAGGGTTCGAGGTTTCAAGCATCAATGTCTTAAACGCTGACGAAGTCTTAGGCGAAGCACCCGCCCTGCCTCAACGACACGCTTGGTGGTGCGACAGGGAGGAGAGGAGGTTCTTGCATCAGGACGAGGGATAGAGGACGATTAATATGAACATAGTATGTTTGAAGTTCGCTTGCTGGCGGGGGGGGTCGAGTTTCACAGCGCCAGGTGGCTTGTGTTGTGAAATGGCCAGCAACCGACGAGGGAGCACCCACTCTGCGAATGCCCGCCCAGCCCGCCCCACCCCGCAGTGCCAGGATCCTCAGCCGGATGCTCAGAGCAAACGCATGATACATCATTGATGCTGGAGCACACCCTCCCGTCACATGTCTCCTTCTCGTAGACCATTGCCAGTACTGACTTCGGGGAGCGCCCCTTTGAAAGGCGAGCGCCCCATGCTCCGTTTTGAAAGAAGCCCCACTCCATGCTTGCTGTCAGTAGGGACGTGACGATGTAGAAGTTTGGTGTTCAGGCGAAGGTCCAGCGAGCACTACGTCTCAATAATTCACTGCCCTCAATCCGTGCGTGCGTCTGTCGCACATGTGAAGGTTTCGGGCCACAGGGCCAGAGGGAATCTCTAGCGAGATCCAACGTTTGATAAGGAGCCGCCCTCCATCCGTGAAGCTTTTGCGCAGTGATCTCAGCCTGTCTACTTGTTGCAGGCTGTTCGGCGGAATGCCCTGGCGCTGCGGCGAGGTGCACATCTGGCAACCTTCCCACACTCCACCCGCCAAGCTGTTGAAAGCTCTCAGACGACTTGTTAGAGGCGCTGAGCCATCCCGGGGCCGTCCATAGGCCCGTCTGGCCCATGAGAGGCAGGCAGGGCGACGAGTGAGAGAGTCACCGAGCGAGACCCGCGCGGGTCTGGGCGGGGGGGCAACGTGGGGCCGCGGCCGTACGATTGGAGCGAGCCGTGGCACGCGACCGAGCCGAGGACGGTATGGGGACAGCTGGGCGAGGGAAGTCGGCGGCAGCGCGGGGCAGGCGCCGGAGCGGGGAGCCGTTGAGGACACGGCCGGACGATCGAAATCGGCGGGCACGGAGAGCAGGGTGTGGGGGTGGGGATGGCAGGGGACTGGGCCAGACGAGGGCAACTGGCGGGCAACGCGGGGCACCCACCCAGGGTCGGGGATAGTCGGAGGGAGATGGGTCAAGCACCAGGGCCGAGATCAGAGTGCTGTGGCAAGGCCGAACGGGCGGAAGCTGCTGGCAACTCTGGGCGAGCACCACAGCCGGGGACAGTCGGGGACTGCCGAACGGAGACTATTTGCGGCGACAGGAGACACGCACCGCACCCGAGCGGTGGACCGTCGGGGGAGGCCGCCGAAACGAAGGAAATCTTGAGCAGTGCACGGCAGGCGCCAGAGCTGCAGAGCTGGGGTCTGCGACGGGGCCGAGCGAGACAAGTCGACGGGAGCGTGGGTAGCTGTGGAGAGGGCCGAGCGAAGGGAAGTGGCGGGAGCGGAAGGCAAGGACCAGGTCCAGGGAACGTCGGGGACGTGGCTGCGCGAAGGCAGTTGGCCGTCTCATAAGTACCAGGGCGAAAAGCAGTGTGTGACAATGTCCGACCGAAAGGAATCCGCGGCAACGGAATTCAAGCGCCATAGACGAGGGCAATCTGGGGTAGTGCCGAGCGAAGGACATGTGCGGCAACGCCGCATGGCAAGCGCCAGAATTGGGAGGTGTGGGGAACGGCCGAACGAAGCCGATTGGCGGGAATGGAAGACACCAGCCAGAGCCTATGACAGTCGGAAGCAGGCAGGGCCAAAGGAAGACAGCTGGCGGCTACGCAGGTCGAGCGTCAGAGCTGGAAACAGCCAGAGGCAGGGTCGAATGAAGAAAAACGACCGGGTAGCGCTGCGAGAGCTCCAGAGCTGGAGGCAGTCGGGGGCGGTGTCGGATGATGGAAATTGGCGGCACAGCAGTTGCGGCCACCAGAGATGGGGACAGTCGGGGACAGCGCCCGAGAGCGCCCCATCATTGGATCCCCCCCCCTCCACCCTACGATTCCTATTCCGCAGCAGATTGAGGCTTTTCAACGGCACGGTCACGCCATCCGTGATGAGTGTATGCTCGTCATGGGCTCGCACGGGGAACGTGCCCGTCTTTCTCAGACGGGTCCAGCGTAAGATGCTCAGGCTTGTCATGGGAGCGCCGCGGAGGCGCAACATTCACCGCCGACATGCTAGTGGCAGCTCCATCCACAACCGCATTTCGATCGACGCCAGCAGTTCAAACCACGTGGGCTTCAGATACGACGGCTGCAACGAGGACAGAACCATGGGCGGATTATATACGAACAGCCACGCACGCAGCAACGGAACATGCCTCACGAGCACAGTTGGAGAAGCGGACAACATGGTATTTCAAAAGGAATTATAGTTGGGCCTCACGCCTGGCAGCGCACGATCTCGACATAGGGGCGGTCTTGGCTGCTAGATGGGATCCAAGCGCGCACGACCCACGCCTGTCACAACGAATGCGCGGTAGACACTGAAAGAAATGGGCCGACTACATTTGCAGTTTCCGACGCTCCACGAACACTGCGGAAGACAGCGACGAAAACGACGACAAGAAGCAGTGGCTACGTATATCATCAAACCTGGAATTCTGGGAAAATGAGAAAGTCATTTCTTGGGTTAAGTATGCACGTGCTACATCATGTAGTGACCTTTCTCGGGTAGGCCAAACACTACCACGAAGGCTTCGACTCTGGCTTTTCTAGCTCCGATTGCGGCTCCCGCCTTTCCGAGTTTAACCCCCGCTCTAGAACGACGCGTCTCCAAACCACCTCCCCGTTCCAGGTCAAGCGTTTCCGATTTCAATTCCAATGGTCGTCCCTTCGTCTCCGGCTTTCGTCTCTCCGACTCCAGCTCCTATATCTCCGACGTTGGAGCGTAGTATCACGGCATCACGTCTCCAACTTCCGCCTCCTACGTCCATCTCTCCGATTCTTGTGATCGTATCTCCGACTCCGGCCTCTCTTCCCGCGTTTCCGTTCCGTTCGTTTCTTCCGATTATTGCGTCTATCATTCCGGCTTTTGCGACCGTTTTTTCCGATTCCGGACGCCGATATGACATGCACACATGCGCTAAGAAATTTGATCATTTGCGATTGATGCTTGCACGGACGACGACAACGGATTCTCGTTCCCAACGCGTCTTCTGAGGGCCCCGGTCCCGCAACGCTGGTCCCGCACGGCCGACATCGCGCGTTCGCTCGCTCGACCCGTACTGTGCTCGCCCAGTCCGGCTGCAGCCCGCCTCCAGCCTGCCTGGTCGGCGGGGGTTTGCTGCAGAGCCACTGTGGAGCAGCCTTGCGTGGTGGTAAGTCCCTCCACAGGAGGAGTATTCGAAAATAGTCAAAACATATAATCTGAGGACGACTTTTTTTACCATTTGTGAATTTGTTTGGTGCATTGTTTGGTGTATCTTTAATTTTTCGCCCAAGTCCTTCTGTAGGGGGACAGGCCCGGCCTCAGCGTAGTGCCGAGACTGGTGTGCTCGTTTTTTAATGTAACGGGTAACTACATGGACGCCTCGCTCTGATTGGGCAGGATGTTTTCGCCTACTCCTTTTTATTTCTGCCAGGGCCCCTTCAGTGCAACCGCGTCTTGGGGAAAGCTTGACACTTTACCCTCTCTTTCTCCTTCTCTCCCTGTATAGTTCTCTCTTTCCTCCTTTTACCCTCCCTGCTCGCTTTGATCTCTGCTTTCTGCTCTCTTTACAATTTTTATGTTCTACTCTTCTGCTGTACTGTCTTCTCTGTTCTCTCTATTCAGCCTGCTGTCGAGCCGCCCTCTCACCGACATCGGTAGGGCATTTCCGTTTACACTGTCAATTCTCGACAGGACCCTCACCGTGCAAGCATTGATTGGGGAATTGGCGGCAATCCACTGTGACAACGCAAGAACACACCGCAACTGGAAGTTCTGGACGTTTTTTCATTATGTTTTTGTCCGTTGTTTCTGCGTTGCGGGTGTCGTTGGCAAGTGTTTCTGGTTTGACGCCGTGTTTTCTCGCAAGGTTGTAGCCTGGCCACTTGCAGCGCTTTTCCCGCGGATATTCCCTCCAATGTGCTGCTTTCGCGAGGCCGAGCGGCGGTCATGCGCGGCGGCGCCTGTTTGCCGCGACGCACGCGCGTGCTGATCAGAGGAGGTTGCAGTAGCAAAAACGTGGTCGCTGCGGCATTGCATCATTATGTTTTAGGCGGCGCGTAACGCCTTTTTCTCTTGATATCTGCGCGTGCCTTGCATAGGAGGACTGCCCCAGCGCAGCGATGCTTCGCGCGGCGTGATTGCCTTTGCCTTCCCCCCCTCTTTTCGCATTGTTGTTGTTCTTCCATTGCGCGCATCTCAAAGTGGAGAGCCTGGTCGGCTTATGGGGGGCGCGACTTCGCTGACAAATCATGCGCATCGCGGTTGCGTGTAGAGAATCGGGCGTTTGCGTTATGCCGCTTTGGTCGCGGCAAGTCCCGCGCACTGCGATTGCGCATTTTTCGGCGCGGCGAGTTGTAGAGCACCGCAAAGAAAGCTGTACCACGCGACAGATCGTCGCGCATGCCCGTGCAGTGGCCGCAACATGTGACACGCTTATCCGCGTCGTTTCGCGTCGTACTCTGTCGTTTTCGTCGTCGTCCCCCCCTCCTCCGTCCCCCAGTTGTGCGTTGTGAGTCTCCCTACTTTTGCGTCCGTTCTTCTTGCTTCTCGTGGGTCTTTTGCGGGTTACTCTCAGGCGTCATTGGGCTTGTCACGTGGTCCTGTTGGGTTTTCTTGGGGGGCTTCTTGGGGCTTTCTTGGGCCGTTTTAGGGCTCTGTGGGACATTTCGGGGCCATCATGGGCCGTCGCGAGTTCCCTGGGGGGTCTGCTGATGCCGTCTGGTGTCGTGCCCGCCTCCATGGCGGTTTCTTGGGTTTGCCTGCAGATTAGCGGATGCAGTGCAGGTGCGGCGGTGACGGCATCAGCGTCGCCTTCAGGTTTCGGCAGAACAGTTGCGTCGCGTGTCCAAAAGTGGTGGCTAGTTGAGGGCCTCCGACGGCCCCCGCTCCAAGAAAACATGGTGGATGTAAGGAACCATCTGGTTCATGAAGAAGTCCCCCCATGGGGGTTTCGATGGTCCCGAAGCACGAGACATCTGTCGATCCACGAAATGTAATGAGGAGGTCCCGGGTTCCCAAGTAAGGTCCTTATTTGGGTGCCCGGCGGTCCCACAATTCAGGGCCTTATTTTGGCCATCGGCGGTCGCAGGTCCCACAGGACTCACAGATCTCACAGGTCCCACAGGTCTCACAGTTCCCACAGGTCCCACACGTCTCCCAGATCTCGCAGGTCGCGCAGGTCTAATATTCCCCGCAGGTCGCCCAGGTCCCACCTGCCCCACAGGTTTCGCAGGTCTCGCAGTTTCCACTGGTCCCACAGCTCCCACAGGTCCCACGGGTCCCACGGGTCCCCCAAGTCCCACAGCCGTCGCAAGTCTCACATGTCCCGCATGTCCCACATATCTCACAGATCCCACAGGCCCCGCACGTCCAACAAATCTTGCAGGCGCCGCAGGCCTCGCAAGTCTGGCAGGTCTCGCAGGCCCCACACGTCCCATTGATTGGTCCACCAAATCCCATAAGTCTCGCATGTCCCATGAATCCTAAAGGTCCCACAGGTTCCACATGTCCCACCGCTCCCACAACGCTAACAGGTCCCACAGGCCCCGCAGGTCTCGCAGGTCTCGTTGATCCTGCAGGTCCCACAAGTCTCACAGGACCCACATGCCACACAGGCCTCACAGTTCCAAGAAGTCTCGCAGGCCTTTAATTTCCAAAGGCCCCACTGATCCCACATATCCCATATGTCCTACACGTCTCCCAGGTCCCACAAGTCCCACAGGCCCAGCGGGTCCCACAGGTCCCACAGGTCCCATAGGTCCCACAAGTATCACTGGCCACACCGGTCCCACAGGTCCCACAGGTCCGACGGGTCCCACCGGTCCCACAAGTGCCACGGGTCTCGCAAGTCTTGCAGGTCGCACAGGTCCCACAGGTCCCACAGGCCCCACAGGCCCCACAGGTCTCACAGGTTTCTCAGGCCCTACAGGCCTCACAGGTCCCGCATGTCCCACAGATCCTACAAATCCCACATGTCTCGCAGGTCTCTGTGGTCCCGCAGGTCCCACAAGTCGAGGCCCCACGGGTCGCACAGCTCCAACAAGGCTCGCGGGTGCTGGAGGTCCCACAAGTCCCAGAGGTCCTGCAGGCCCGGGAGGGCTCGCGGGTCTCGTAAGTCCCGCAGGTCCCACACGTCCTGCAGGTCCCGCAGGTCACACGGGTCCCACAGGTCTCACAGCTCCGACTGGTCTAGCATTAAGTCGGGCGTGTCCTTCTACAGGAGGAAAATTCAAAAATGATCAAGACATACCGGTTTCTTGAACATTTCCCGACCATTTTTGATTATTTTGGGCTATGTTTGATTTGTCGTCCAAGATCCCCCTGTAGGAGGACATGCCCGACCTAAGTCTAGCAG